CTCTTATAATAGCTAATCAGGATAAATAGCAGAATTGGTGGTTCTGAACAGCAGCAGACAGTCACATAGAACCTTACCTCATGAAGGGTTAATTCCACAGCCTTGGCAGTTGTTTCACGCGCTTCCTGATACAGCTTCTGGAGTCGCTCTGTCTGCGCACGAGCAGCCGCTGTTTCTTGTCTGAAGAAAAAAAGTACGACCGTCAGACGGAATCCTACGGCTTTTTTTCATTGGAGAAGGAACTCAAATATCAAAAGGGATTGCTCGAACATCGAACTAAACTTCAATCTAGGCGCTATAAAAAACGACAACCACACTGGCAATCACAGGACTGGGAGATCTAACATGGCGCCGGAGGGACAAGACTTTCAAAACGAGAAACAAGAACTAGTCAAATTGCCCACACGCTTAAGTATTAGGGGGTCTTGACAGATTTGAATAATTCATTCAACCTAGTTTGGAAAATTCGGCGGACTTAGTGGGATTTGAAACCACGTCAGTAAGGGAAAGGTTTTAGTGCATCTACTGCTCTAGCCAAGTGAGTTACGAGGCTCCCACTGGGAGCCGTAAATTTAATCACATTTGGGTCCAGTTAGCCGCCCAGCCTACTGCACTGTAGGGAATCCACCAATTCTGATACAGTAAGTTGACTGCCTAAGCAGGATTTTCTAGGCAATCAAACCGGAATCTAGCAGCTGACTAGCAGGTGTATTTCAGGGGGCATGCGGCAGATTTTAATAATTCATTTGACTCATTTGTTAAAAACTCGGCGGCTCCCCTACCAATTAATAGTGCTTTGTAGTGATCTGGCGGATTCTAGATTGATTCCTTAGAAAACCTTGCTTAGGCAGTCAGCGTGCTGTATCAGAATTGGTGAATTCCATACGCCGCAATAGGTTGGGCGGGTAAACCGAGCCGGGTGCAATTTAAAGTCAAGGCTCCCAATGGGAATCTCGTAGCCAACTTAGCTAGTGCGTTGGATGTACTAAAGCCTCCTCTTTGTTGGCGTGGGTTCTAATCCTACCGAAGCCGCCGAGTTTCTCACAACTAGATCAAATGAATAATTTACTGAACTTTGGAGAGGAATGCTGACTTCTCAAAAAGGACTGTGTCCGTTCGATCA